CAGTAATTAGCTCCATGGTTTTGCTACTATACTTATAATAGTCCCCATTAAAGTTATGGGGTTTTTAGGCAGTAATGGCTTATAGAGTAATTAACGAGCAAGAGGCTTTTAATATTACCTTTATTTTTAACCTGTACTTTACAAGCCTTTTCTGCAAAATACCAAAATCTTGGACAGAGACTTGCCATGCCTGTCCCCTGCCACGCCGTGTGGAGAGGAGCAGGGCTGTGTCTGGACCACCTGAAGCTGGTCACCAGCGTGCCCAGTGGCACAGCCCGTGTCCCCAGCATCTGCTGTGCTGTCTGATTGCAAGGTAGACCTGTAATTACCCTGTGCCTCAGTGTCCTCATCTGAAAAATGGCTATGGCAGAGCTGTGCTCACATATCTGCTGTTGTTTTCTGTGCAGGACAACTGGCTTGGGTGTGTGAACTGGGATGTAAATACAGAAGGGTTTGTTGGGTGTCAGGGCTTGTGGTCCAGCTGCTCCCTGGGCTGAGATGGGCTGAGCAGAGGGACCAGCTCTGGCTTGAGCGACTCCTGCATCATTTTTCAGCTGGGATCAGGACCAGTTGCTATTGCAAAGGTGAAAGAAAGCCTGTGTTTAGGTTTAGGGGATGCTTTGCCCAGGGAGGAAAACTATTAGTGAGAATATACTTTGTATCCTGAAGTGTGAGTGTTTATTTTCTTTGCAGAGCTTTTGTTACAGGATTTGGCTCTGTGTGTTTATTATTCCTTGGCTGTTTTGTAACACGAGTAAGTGTTTGGTATGTTTGTTTGGCTTTTGTGTTTGTTTTTCTTACATCTAGACAATATTTTTACTGCAGTGACTTATGTATATATACAAATTCAACTCAAGCAATTCTTTAGTTCAACATGTTCTAAATCACTTCTGTTCAATGTGGGAAAACCAAAGAGTAATGACGCTGGGGCTGATTGACCCCAAAGGAAGAAAGAAGGTAAAAGTGACTATAAACCAGATTGCAGATCAAATCAGTGTTTCCTATGGTACGTGTCAGAGCTGATGCCAATTAGCTTGATTTAAAAAAAGAACCTTCAGTGTTTAATAATCCAGCATGTTACTAACACGTGGCTGTAGGATTTATTAAGGGGTTTTTTTATTAGATGCGTGCCCTTTTAATCCTGTCATGCCTTGACACCATTGCCCTCTGCCGGAGGATGTGAAATCTCTTTCACCATGTGGCAGAGCTCTTCTGCTCTCAGCATCTCAGAATGTATTTCTGCCAAGGAAACTCCTTCCAAACTATGCAAAACACCTTTGCTTTAGCAGTATTTTAACCCCCAAAATTGCTCACATTTGAGCTGGTGATTTCGCCTGGTCTTTCAGGTCTTTCTCCTGATTTTTCAAAACTGAGAAAAAAAAGTGTACTTTCTGTAGCAGAAGGAGAGTTTGATCTTTTTAATTAATTAGTCTTTAAATTTGTTCCTCCTCCTTCTTTTCCCTGTAGAGCAGGAGGAAGCAGAAGCCCAAATTTGGCAATCTGAACAAAGCCAGGTTTTCTTTGGAAGGTTTTAAGTTGGAAAAGGAGAGTGGTATTATGATGGAGCAGGGGTAGAGTGAATGCCTTGAAGAGGAGCATAATTTTCCCCTGACTAATTTTTGGCTAGCCTCACTTGTGCCATAAACAGCAACAAAAAGCATTGTTTGGCTTTGGTAGACAGGGATTTTGGGGATTCAGTGCAAACCCTCTGTCTTGGGCTGTGAAGCTGTGACTTCTCTCACCAGCAGTGTAAAATCGCAGGCGACTACATGTTTCCTAGCTGATGTTATTCACAGGAGAAAATGGATTTCACCTTTTGCAGCTTTACCATGTGATGGTGAGTTGGGAGCGTGGCTTTGTTCCACGGAGGACTGGCATCACCCTGCACTGAGGCCCTCGGTTGTGTTAACTTGTTGAGAGGGAACACGCTTGAAATACTTCGTCTGGATCCAGATTTCACAGTGCTCACAGCAGCACCAAGTGAATTCTTATGATGTCCTTTAGTCAGGCTTCTCAGGGTCATCAATAAAATCAAATTGCCTCAGGAATTAACAGTGAGCAAACGTCTTTGCTGCAGAGCAGAGTCCCTGCTGGACCCTCACCATCTATGATTTGGATCCACACTGGGGTTGCAGCCCTTTGGGCATGCGGAGCGCGCTGTGTGGAGGGAAGGGAACATTAATTACAGCCCCTGTGCACGGGGTAGCTGGTTCACATCTGCAGCCTGCAATTGCTGATGGCCCAGAAGGAGCTCAGCATTCAGCCAGCCCTGGGAGGACATGGGGAAGAAGCATTCCCACGATGGAGAGTACCATCCCCAGGAACTCTCACTGCCAGCCCAAGCAGAGCTGCAAAGCAAAGCCGATAGCTCTCTCTGCTGGGGCACGAGTGGGCTGTGCTGGCCCTTGGCAGCTGGAGCACCAAAGTGACAGATGATTGACCAGGGAGCTGCTAAATGCTCTGTAGCAAATTAAAAGGAATCGATCCTGAAGAGACCAATGCATGAATCGTTGGAGCCTGCTCATTATCCCCTGTGTTGAAGGGCTGGAAATGAGAGTAGCACTCCAGCACAGAGGTGCCCATTCTCCATCATACGACGCCCAGGGTCAGCCTGTCCTGTGGGGGACGCTGACAGTTTGAATCTGGATTGGCAGGAGGCAGGGAAAAGGCATCTCTAAGGTAAGAGCCCTGTATTTGGAGGAAGCTGCCCTTGCCAAAGGGGCATTTGATGCATGCCAGCCCACTGTGGCAGCTTGCCAGATGCTGTGAATTGACTCTGAGCGGCTCTTTTAGCATGTCATTTCCTCCAGCCCCTTCTCCAGGGGCACTGTCCTTTCCTTGGTGCGTTTGCAGCAGAGGCACTTCACCAGGCAAGGTGTTCAGTCTTCAGAGCTGCCCCTTACAGCTCTGCCCTACAGGGATGCTCAAGGGGACATGTTCTGGCTTTATTAGAGGATTCAAAGGATGCCGGCGCTCAGTGCCCTCTGTTCAGACACTGACAGCAGCCACAGGGACAGCAAGGATGAGGCCAGATGCTCTTTCCTGAGGGCACTGTGTGCTTTGGCAGTGCTAGGCCAGTGGGATTTCTCTGGCTCTGAGAGCTGGACAGGGATGCAGCAGTAAGGCTGATTTTTGCTGGAATAATTCCTCCTCTTCCTCCCTGGTTTATTTTGTCTGGTTAAGGCTGTCTTTTCCAGTTCTGAAAAAAAAATAGGGACAAAACCACATTGCTGGGGGATGCTTCCTTGAAAGCCTGCAGGGTATCCGACTGCACAGAGCATATCTTTGGGCTATGAAAAACTTTTTCCTGCTGGATAAATGTACTTGACTGCAGGAAACCCTGCTTTCCCTAGAACCAGATGTGTTTGATGGTTGGTTGAGAGGTTTGTTGTTGTTTGTATAGTTTTTTGTAGGTTTTTGTATGTGTGGAAAAAAATGATTCACTGAAACTTTTGTTGAGGAACATTGACATGTCCCTTTGAAGGACAAAGACCAACCTATGTTTTCCCTACGCCTTGTTTTCCTTGGTAAATTAATATCTCTGTGATTGAAGTGCTAATTTGGAAGAACCAGGTTCTGTCCAGCAACTTGAACATCACTTGCTTGCACTTTAAAAGGACAAGCCCCTCGGTTTTTGGAACCATTTCATTTCAAGCCTTCCACTGGGCTCAATGCTGGAGGCTGACTGTACAGCCCAGTGCTCAAGGCATGGCCGAGGGAAATCCAGATCAGTCCAAATTGGGCTAATCAGGAATTTGAACCTGGATCTCTCCATGACTGCCCCATGCAACCAAGAAAATGCAAACTCCAAGGGTCTCAGGAAAAACATTTTGCAAAGTAGCCTCCTATCTACAGCCCAGATGTGAGTAGCTGCCCTCTGATTTAAGGAGGGGATCTGCTCTGCCCCTGCTCCTGGAGTGGCAGTGACTGACTGACCAGCCAGCGACTGTGCAGGGGGGGGGATCTCTCCATGACTGCCCCATGCAACCAAGAAAATGCAAACTCCAAGGGTCTCAGGAAAAACATTTTGCAAAGTAGCCTCCTATCTACAGCCCAGATGTGAGTAGCTGCCCTCTGATTTAAGGAGGGGTTCGGCTCTGCCCCTGCTCCGGGAGTGGCAGGGACTGACGGCCCAGCCAGTGACTGTGCAGGGGGGGATCAGTGCTTTTCCCCAGAGCAGACTGCTCCCTGCCTTTGCCTGCGGTATTCTCTGGGCTCTCCCTTGTCTGCAATGCAGCCCTTTTAGCAGCGGGCTCATGCGTCACCCCCCACGGGAACAGTGGGACTAAACTGCTCCCCGTGTTTGCAAAGTGTCCACTGTGCGTGTCCCCGCTAAGTGATGTGCTTTGCTTGCCAAGGTACTTGGATAAAATACAGCCTGCTTGAATCTTGTATGTGCTTCTATTGAATCAAACTAAGCCATGGTGGCAGTTTAATACACTCCAGTTGCAACACCTCTGAGAGGGAAGAAATGAACCTGAACAGGCCATTGGAAGCCCGAGTTCAAACTGGCTGCATCAGAGATGCCAGCGGGCTGGTGTGAGCTTCGCTGGAGCTGTATTCCCAGGGCTGCAGTGCAGCCACCCCCAGTGCTCTGCCTGGCAGAGGGAGAGGGTCTGGTGGGTCAGAGGACTTGCTGATGTGTCAGGCAAGTAATGTGGTCATGATGGTCTCTGCTTCCTCCCAGGGGCTTGGGTCTAGCAGGTGGTGGCGTGAGGCTTGGCTGGCTTGTGGATGAAGAGTCCTTTTCCGCTGGGAGATGGTTTCAGACACTGCAGCACTGAGCAGCTCTTGTTTGGCTGCAGCAAGGGCCATGCTTGACAAGTGGATGTGAAGGAAAGCAAGGCTCTGGACACCCAGGAGGCATCTCTCCTTGGAGGGGTGGAACACATTTCTGTTGCTCACTGCCCCACTTTGATTTGTTCTTCTTGAGGAGGATTTGTGAACTCTAAGCTCCCTAGTACTTTTCTCTGCCTACTCACCTTTGCTCTGTGTTGCAGGTTTCCTTCCAAATGAATCCCTGAGGTTTCTGCTGGTAGCTCCAGTGGTGTCCTGTAGAAGTGCCCTCCTGGTCCTGGTCCCAGCAGCCGAGGCCCCTCCAAACCTGCTTCTGCAATGGGTGGGTTGTAAGCACTGGTAAGACCTATGAGTCGTGTCACCTTCGCAGCTCTCTCCCTCTCTCGCGTCCTCTCTCTCTGTCCTTCTTGCTCATTTATTTCTGTTCTCCATGTGCTCTGCTGTTCTGTCTCTGGGGTTTTCACTGTCAGGTAATGAGGAGCTGTGGGTCCAGTCAGTCTTGGAGATGCCGAAGAGACGAGACATCCTGGCTATCGTGCTGATAGTTCTGCCCTGGACACTACTAATCACCGTCTGGCACCAGAGCACCATTGCTCCACTGCTTGCAGTGCACAAGGGTGAGAGAAATTAAACCAGCCCATGCCAAGTCTGTGCATCCCTCCCTCGTCCTCATCTCCTCTCATTTCATTTCTCCATGGCAGCCATGCTCATCTCAGCTCCCAGTCCATGCTCATGCAGAAGCCTCCCCACTTCTGCTGTACAGGAACAGCGCAGTGCTCATAGGGGTTCTACAGAGACATCAAACTCCAAGCCATAGGATATGCTTACTGCACTTGGAGAGCTTTTTGTGGCCTAAATCCAGAATCAGAGTACTGAAGGAAGGTGCTTTTCTTTGTTCCCTGATCTAGGAGAGAGGAGCCCCTTCCTGCTGGCCTTTGCAGCATTCTGCACACAATTTAAGTCCAGCAGGAAGACTGCAGAAAAGAGAGCAGAGAAAACAGAGCTGCCATTTGAGACAGCTGCTCTGGGAGACACGAGTCAAAGAGCATTTTTTAAGTGTCCTCAGGAAAGCTGCAAACTGGTGCTCTTACACTTAAAGGAGAAGGCAAGAGCCAGCATCTCACCTGATTGTTTGGTGGAGTTACATTGCTATGAGAAAGTCAGCTTCCATGCTACCTGCCACACAAAGCATTAAATAGAGCTCTGCCCTGAATCAGATGAATGCAGAAAGTTCTGGGGGATCCCCTCTGGCCAGAAGGGTCCTGGTTTTTATCCTGTTCTTGGCATAGCAGCAATATCTAAGGGCTGTGAGAGCTCCTGGAGGCTGGAAGAAGCCACGCTGCCTACTGCGGTCTTCATTCTTGTTTCTGCCCTTCTGCTGAGAGCCAGGGTCAGCTTGTGGAGGCTTGTCTATGGGGAAGATCATCTTATTTTCCCTCTCTAGTGCCTTTCTCTGGGAGATTGTCTCTCCTTTTCAGTTTAATGTTCACACCCATCCTCCACAGTTGCTTATCCTTTTGCTGAGCAGTCTGATGTGCAGTTTGAATTGACAGAAGTTCAGAGTCTGTCCTGAGCAGCTTTACCTTTCTTCCTGGAAGACTGACAGCTGTCCATGAGGCTTTGGGCAGTTCTTAAGGGAAAAACGGCTGTGATCCCCTCTGGAAGGTGGTTTCAGAGGATGAGGGATCTACTGGGCTTTAAAACAGGGCTTGAAAGACTGCTCAGAATACGCTGTCTGTATGCCAGTGTGATTCAATGCCCTAAAAACTAGGAGGTGTTTTTTGTGAATGCCCACAGACTGAAGTTACAGCACAGAGTCTGCTCTGCTCTGACTCAGTCCTGAACTTACCCATGACCTTGGTAAGACACTTGCTCTATCTCTGCTTCTCTGAGCCCCCGGTGGAAAATGACTGATGATAGTGACCAACGTGAAAGCTCTTGGGAGAGATCGTTTTGTTCTTGCAACATGTTTCTGAGATCCTTTGGTAGCAGGTGCTGAAAAGATGTGCATAGACACAGGCGAGCTCAGAATGGCAGTGCTTACACATGCCAGGATTTACAGCTGAGGGTTTGACCTGCAGGGGTTTGCAAACTGTCTCAAGCACCGTCCCGGCTAATTACATTTGTGTCCGTGTCCAATGCATTTAGCAGATTTATTTTTGAATTGATTCCAGTGTTCTCTGCTTTCGGAGAGCTCTGCTGTGTGATGCTGATGTGCTTTGCCTTATATACAGAAATACACCTTCCCTCCATCAGTGCCATGGAGTACAAGGTCTTCATTTGGTTCAGGGCTGGTATTAAAGTCTATGCTGCTGGAAGAGTAACATGCTATGAAAAAAATATAGGTAGTACCCTGCTGGGTCAGATCTAATGTCTGTCTGCTCCTGTTCTTTCTCATCTGAAGTTCCTGGTAGTAGCTGGTTTTGTAAAACCTATGGCTCAAAGTACTATGTGCCCACTAGTGAGCAGCTGGCTTATATCCTGACTGGAGGTGCCCCTTCATCTCTGCCAGTTCCTAACTGTAGACCCTGGTAAAAAAAACTACAGTGGGATGAAAATGTGGAAGTTGCACCCTGGAAAAGCGACAGGTGTGTGAACATTTGTTTTTGCTTGAGCTGGTTGTGAACAAGTCTCTATTTGCAAGGATTTTATATGTTTGGATCAGTGTATCCTATATATATATATATATGTATATCTGTTTGTTGTTGACGTCTGCACTACTGAATGGGCTGTTATGTTCAGAGACTGGTAGGGTCTTTTTGAGGAGAGGTTAGTCAGAGGCAGGCAAATCTTTGCAGGAAAAAGCCTACAGTTATAGGCTTTAATTTCTACTCTCCATTTCTGGATTTGAAGTGTGTCTTTCTCCACTTCTCTGTGCCCCATCCCCACTGCCCAGGAGAGCAGTGGGATACTGCAGTATTCTGGCCAGATGATGCTGCTGGGAGGTCTTCACTGACTCGGTATTTTCCACCAGTTTGCCCACTTCTCTGTGCCCCATCCTGGGCAGTGGGGTACTGCAGTATTCTGGCCAGACGATGCTGCTGGGAGATCTTCACTGACTCGGTATTTTCCACCAGTTTGTTCCCTGCCTCCCAGTCCAGGTGCTCCAGTGCCTGAGTGCAGAGCTGTGGGTCCTGTCCCACTGAGCGTGGTGCCTAGAGCACTGGAGCTCTTCAGGAATGACAGACAGTCAATCCATGTTGCTGTTTTCCTTATCTAGATCTAATTGCTGTACAAGCCTGTCTCTTCTGGGTGCTTTCTGAAGTTGCTTATTCTGAGCACTCAGCTGCAGTGTTGTCCTGGGCTCTCAAGGCTTTGTTTGGAGCTGGTTTTCTAACAGCAGGAACTTCTTTTCTCCTGTGTGTTTCTCCCTGATTCCTTTATTTATTTGTGTACTTATTTATTAAAGCTTCCATCCAAGCTTGTTTCCTTTCCTCTGAAGCTATGAGGGTGACCTGCTATTAGCCAGCAGGCTGCTGGCTGAGTCAGGGGGTGGGGGGGGTGTTGGAGGACTGAGTCCATGCGACTTTTTCTTCTCTCTCATACCCTTGCTCAGATGATGGTGGTGACTCCCGGCGTGATCTCGCTGCAGGCTTGGACTCCAAGGAATACTGCTTGTCGGACCGGGACATTGTGGAGGTGGTGAGGACAGAATATGTTTATACTCGCCCACCCCCGTGGTCAGACACCCTTCCCACCATCCACGTCATTACACCCACCTACAGCCGGCCCGTACAGAAGGCAGAGCTGACCCGCCTGGCCAACACCCTCCTGCACGTGCCAAACCTGCACTGGATCCTGGTGGAGGACTCACAGCGGCGCACACCCCTCATCACCCGGCTGCTGCGGGACACGGGGCTTAACTACACCCACCTCAATGTGGAGACACCCCGCAACTACAAGCTGAGGGGAGACATGAGGGATCCTCGCATTCCCCGGGGGACCATGCAGAGGAACCTTGCCCTGAGATGGCTGAGAGAGACCTTTAACAAAAATAACAGCCAGCCTGGGATTGTTTACTTTGCTGATGATGATAACACCTACAGCCTGGAGCTCTTCGAGGAGGTAAGACCCTGTTGGGGGACCCCAGCTGGCTGCATGCAGCAGATTAGCACGTGGGGGGTAAAAGACTCTGTGTGCTGAGCTGATGAGATGCTGTGTACATCCTCTGCATCCTCTCCTGAGCTCTGGATCAGTCTTATACGTATAGTGGTCCCACTGTAGCTCTCCTGAAGTTTTCTCTGGAGCTTGGTTACTGCGCTGCAAAGTGTGCATTTTCCAGAGTCAAAGGCGTCCTGTGTGAAGTAACAGGGACCCCAGTTTGTCCTGTGGTGTGTGATCAGGAGACAGATAGTTTTTACTGTAAAAGAAGCTAATGAGGAGCTGCCTTCCCCTGTGGAGAGCCTTGTTAGAGCTGGAACGTTGCCTGCTGTCCAATGTGCCTGTGTAGAAACACGTGCCTAGCAAAAGAGACCTCAGCCATCCTCCTTCCATGCCCCACCCTGGAGGAGATTTCCAGCTGATTCCTGATCTCATGTTATCCACCTTTCTTCTCCACCACCCCTTGGCTGTCTGTTAATTCATGTTTGATTTTGTTTGAGGAGTCCCTGGGGTTTCTCTTCCTCACTTGCTGTTTGCATTTGCTTGCTCTCATCCCTGAGCATCCACTGGTTAAATTCTATAGCTGTCAAAGCCCTGGTGCCTGCTCTGCAGAGATCTCCAGCTGAGGCAGCAGTGACCTTTCAGAGTTACATCTGAATGGTGTCAGCACAGTCACAGCACTTGCAGGACATCTTGTTCAGAGATGCTCTGTGTGGTTGTCTCTGGGTTGCCACACACGAGAGGAGCATACATTTGTCAGTGCTTGCTTCTCCTCCCAGAGAAGTGGAACCCTTCACACACTGCCTTGGAGAGGGCTGTCATTCTGCTGGGAGATATGTGCAGCACTCCCCTCCAGAGCTCTTCCTCTTGCAGCGTCAGGGGATGGATGGTCTGTCGGGCTGTTTAAAGTAGGCAATGGGGCTGAGATCTCAGCCTGGAAGTTTGAACTTCCAGGAACTGTGATGGAAGGCTAAATTTCAGCATGTCCTGGCAATCTGGTTGGGCTTGAACAAGGGAAGGCTCCCATGTGCTTTCCATGTGTATGTTCCACCCCTACTGGGGCTCAAAATGAACTCCTGAGCCTTCCCCTGTCTGCAGGTTTGCAGTGGTCTGACAGTGCCAGGTACACTGTACCTCACCTGGCTTCCAGCTCAGCAATTACTTGTTCCCTTGTTCTCCCGAGGCCAAGCTCTTGCAGCAAGGGACAAGAAAGGAGGATTGCTTCCTTCCCCACCAGTTGCCAGTTTTCATACCAGGGATCTCCTATTTATTTGCTCCATACATTCCCCTTTTCCCTTCCTTGATGGCTTTTGCTTTAGCTTGGGTAGCCACAGGGATATACACACTTCTAAAGCTGAAAGCAAAGTCAGATTGAATATCTTGCTTCCACAGTCCCCTTTGAGGCTGGTTCTGGCAGCATCTTGAGACAGACACCGCACATTAATAAAGCAGAAAGGGTTCCTTCATTCACTTCTCTGCTTGGCTCATAGAGGCTGCTCCTGTCTGCTCTGTAGCTGCAGTTAAGGCCACACGGAGTCAATGAAATGCGCTATGAAATGCAGAAGACATGCACTATTGTTCCCTGTGGAGAGGGGCTGCCGTTAGCATGTGTATCATGCAGAAGGGCAAGTGCCAGAGCTCTTCTGGTCTCGTTTGCAGTAATTAGCAGTGATGAGATTAGCTCTGGGATATCCCTCATCTAAGAGACTGGGCTGAGAGCAGAACGCGAGGCTGAGTCTGCCAACAGAGCAGGACAGGGTGCCGGAGGGTGAGCAGGCAGGCAGGCATTCAAATCATCTGCTTTGGCAAGTGCAGGCATCTGAAGTGTCCCCTGACGGCTCCTGTTTATTTCTGTTGACTCTACAGGGAGCAGAGGCATCCAGCATTGTTCCACTGGGTCACAGAAGCAGCTACAAAGCACCATCCTGAGTGCTGGGAGTTTCTGGAGAGACTGTGGTTGTGGGCTACAGCTGTAGTGCCTCACTCTAAAAATGCTTTTAGCCTTACTGTGGCTCATAGGCTGAGATTCCAGCTCAAACCCCTTACCTTTCTTCCTAGATATGCTATTCCTGCATATCCAGGAGGCCTTGGACAAGGTGCTTTCCTCCTTTGTGTCCCGATTTCCCCAGCTGTCCATGTGGAGGACTGATGACCCACAGCACTAAAGACCTTTGAACAGAAAAACACTCTTAAATCTCAGTTATGTTTATTATTGTCAGCTTTGTTTTTGGTGCTGAACTCATGCTGGGTTCCGTGGCTATCCATTACTATTGATACTGTTAATTGCTGCTCTCCAAAGCACGTTGCTTCTCCAGCTCCAGGATGTGTCCCCCTGCACAGGTGAGTAATGAGCTCCGCAGCTTGGTCCTCAAGGGTTTGCGCTGAAGCTCAGGGGCATTTGTTTCCTGCAGGACAGTGAGAAAGGTGAAATGGTTCTTGCTGGGGTGCTGGTTTGTGTGTTGGAAGTCACATGCTGCCTGCACCCACCATACCCTTCTCTTTCCTTGCCTCCAGATGCGCAGCACCAGAAAGGTGTCGGTGTGGCCAGTAGCCTTTGTGGGTGGCTTGCGCTACGAGTCACCCAAAGTGAACGCTGCAGGGAAGGTCTATGGCTGGAAAACTGTGTTCGACCCTCATCGCCCCTTTGCTATAGACATGGCAGGGTTTGCTGTGAACCTCAGACTGATTCTCCAGCGATCTCAGGCTTACTTCAAACTGCGAGGAGTGAAGGGAGGCTATCAGGAGAGCAGCCTGCTCCGGGAACTAGTGACCCTGAATGACCTTGAGCCGAAAGCTGCCAATTGCACTAAGGTATGGTCTCTTCCTCTTGTGTGGGATGTAAGATCCAGAGGCAGGAGAAAGCCCATTCAGGTCATCATTCAGTCACTTGTCCTCTGCCTTTGAAGATGCAATCTCGCTGTAGTTCTCCGCAGTAACCTGGATCTTTCTGTGTCAGAGATAATGTAGAAATGTTTTAATGCCTGGGATATTGCTCTGAGCTCTAGGAGGCTTCCAGGAAGCTTCATTTTGGGGGGGATTTTACTGCTGTCAAATGACTGATAATTATTTGACTGTACACATTGCCTAGGAGCCACCAGGTCATGGAGCAGGACCCCTCTGTGCTAAATAACTTAGAACACAATGATGGTTCTTGCCCTAAAGACTTCCTGGTTTAAGATGAGAGACAACAGATGGATATCTATGTGGAGTGACAGGGGAGCGTGCGAGATACAATGAGACAATGCTGGTTAGTGTGACAGGAATCAATCATAGCACATCAGCAACAGAGGTGCTGTCAAGTGCTTTTGAAAGCTTTGTGAGTGGGTCCACTGAGCACTGCAGGGGTGGAGGGGGTCCCTCTGAGATCAGAGAGCCCTGTGTAGCACTCTCATGCCTTTGGCTGTAGTAGGCACCAGCCAGTCTGATTTAGGAAGTCTTCATTGCTTAATTATTCCAGGAGGATTTGGGGTTTTTTTACAAATGAGCTGTTACTGCTGATAGACTCAGAGTTGGACCCAAGTCTCCATCCCTTTTTGGGAAAGGAAAAAATTTTGAATAATACCTTTTGTCTCTGCTTTCCATCTGCACTGCTCCACCGCCCACAGCCACAGAAAAACAAGGATCTGGATGTTCAGCAGTAGTCCAGGAATAAGGAAGAGGAGCTGAAGGGGAGGAGCAACTTTGTTTATTACTTGATACCTGCTGTGCCTCATTTTTTAAATCTATGTGTCTGTGGTTATGGCTGTCCAGCACTGGGATAAATAACACAGATGGTCTCCCAAGGGTGGGAAAAGAGACTGGGTTAAAATTAGATCTCTATTCTTGGGCACTGTGTGCCCTATGAGCTAACAAGAAAGCACTGGCTGGAAGTGTTTCCAACAGGCCAAGGGAGATGCACAGGTTGCTTTTCGTCTGGTGTACAGCAGATTAGGGATGTTTACTCCGTGGCCAGTTATGCAATCTTTGGTATATTGTCCCTGCTGTAAATAAATGTTGGAAAGAAGCTGTGTTAAAAGGCTGGGGATAGGAAATGACGGTTGTGGAGGAGCACAGAGGAAGGAAAAGGTTTTTTCCAGTCAGAAGGAAAAAAATGACGCTGTCAGACAGGCTGCCATGTCAGTGCTGTCACAAAAGAGCTGCAGGTCGGAGGTGGAGAGGAAGCAGGAATTGCTGGCAAGGATTTGAAGCAGACTGCATTTCTTTTTTTGGCGAGGCTGTGAGGATCTTACAAGGATCCTTGTTATGAACTGAATGCTGTCTGCTCCTGGCAAACTCTGAGTACAGCTTTGCAGGTTGAGCTTTGCCTTCCTGCTTTTAGCTGATGCCAGCAGCCTCCATTTCCCAGTTGCTGTTTTGCTCACCCATTTGATGAGAAGGAGAGTCCAGACAAGCAGCAGAGTAGGACAAAAGTAGGCTATGGTCTGGGGTCCTCTTGGCCCGAGATCAAAGCACAGACTTGTTTCTCATCGTGCTAGTGAGCTCCCAGCAGTTGTCATGGTTTGCTTCTGTTAAGCATAACCACACTTCTGCTTTGCAGTGAGATTTACATTAAAAATTATGATGGGCTCAGATACAGTCATTAAGGAGGGATCAGAGAAGTATGTAAGATAAGCATAGACATCTATTCTCCAAAAATCCTGCCTTCCCTGTGTGCAGTGCTTGTATTTGTAATATTTATCAGAATTCAAGCCACAAATGCACAGTCCTGCAAAAAGCTTATGCTTTGGCCAAAGACATATATCCTGCTTATTTTCTTTGATTTGAGAACTGCCTAAAATGAAGGCAAAAATTAAGTCAGTATTAATTGCTCAGGAGAAAGGAGAGTTATGCCTCCTTATCAGAAGGGAAGGGTTGGTTTATACTGGAGTTGTAAGGAAACAAGGCTTTGCAAGCTTGCTGTGTATTTCTGTGTTTGGCCTCTTCTGCATTTCCCTCCAGGCACCCCCAAAGTAAACCTTACTCTCTTCAATCCATTTACACAGGATAGAGGTCTGAGATTCTGTATTCCCATAAGACTGATGTAGCTGAGACATATTCTGTTCCCCATTTTCTATGAGCACCTGAGGAAACAAGCTGCAGTGTGCTCAACCAGGGAGCCCTTAAAGGAGAGAGACTTTGAGTGGCCCCAGCTATTGAAATAGCCTCAGTGTGGGCTGGCACAAGAGGACAGACTACAAAATACAAGGTCATTGGAAATGAGGCATCTCTCACTCCAGCTGCTCCTGGAGTTGCTTGTTTCTCCAGGGATGTTGGTTTGGGTAGGTTTCTTTGGGTCAGGCAGGCTTTTGTGCACTTGGGTGGTCTCAGTTGCAATTCACCAGGATTGAAGCGGTGGTTAAAAGTTGTCATTCCTCCTCTCTCCTTATCTCTTGGCTGAGACAGATTTGAGATTAAATCTGTGGGTTAGCAGCTCCGTGTTTAGATGGATGTTGTGAAAGGGAATCGACTGGCAGCTTTATGCTGGACCGGGAGCGGCTGTCTCCGATGCAGGGTGCGTGTGGGCACTGTTAAATGCCAGTCAGGATAACTGGCTGCTGTCAGACAGGGACCAGAGAACAGGGAGCAAAGAGGGAGCTCTCCCAGCAGTACCTGAACCACACATCAACACTGTGGCTACCATAGGTCTTGGAACTGCCTCTGAGAGGGGAATAAATCCTTGTGCATATGGAGGAGACCAAGCCTTTGTGCTCAGCAGCAGCAGCCAGGAAATTGCACAGCAAAAGGAGACCAGAACTGGCTGCTTCATGATGTCACAGATCTAAACCAGCTAAAACTGGCTCAGAATGGGCAGGAGAGAGGGAAAATGTCAGCCTAAGGCTAGAAGGCTTGAAAAGGAGTACTTTGCTTCCTCCTGATTTTATCCTGTGGTGCTACATACGGCAGGCAGGGGAATCAGCTTCGCCAGCTCTTTCTTTTCTGTGCCTTTCAGAGGCTGAGCAGCAGGGTACGAGTAGGATGGAGCAGATCTGTCCTCTTTTCGGTTAGATTGTTCCTGAGACCAGGCTCCTCTTTTCCTGTGGGTTTGTGACCAGTGGTTTGCAGTGAGCGTTCAGTATCCTGGCTGCTGTGTGGCAGCACTTTGTTGGTTAAACTTCACACACACACACACTAGTGAAGATAGCAGTGCTCGAACTGGTGATTTTTACAACAGACATGCAGAACTTGGAGGGTTCTTTTGGCCTTGTCTTGTCCTGATTAGTCACCAGAACTGCTGTGCCAATGCCATCCCCTGTAGCACAGCTGAAGGCTTGCAATTTACATCACAGTAGTTTGGGTTTTGCAGCCCTAGCTGTCTGCCCTGCTCCAGGGTGGACCTTCAGATCCGTGCTGCAGCTGCAATGGCTCTAATTAGACTGCTGTAACCTTTTCTTCTCTTGTGGTCTCGTATGTTTTGCCGAAAATACCCATCACAAAGCACAAACCTTCAGGTTGGTGTAATTGCACAGTTGAAGATGACTGTTTGAGCTCTGCTTTGTTTAATAGTAGTGGCCACGATTCTCTCAATATATGAGAAAAGCAAGAGTCAGAGGGAGAAGCAATCTTTATTTGTTTTACCAATGGATGTGCTTTTGGGAGATGAGGGCCTCCACAATGCCCAAGAGAGTCTGCAGAAATTTGGTTTAGCACAAGCTGGGAGGAAGCAAATCTGTCATTTCAGCTTAGTGTCTCTTTTTCTTCACATTGTGTAGTCTCCATTTCAAATAACAATTATTGAAACCCTCCACGGAGAATCTGTGTGCTTGAAATCCTGTGATCCCCTCCAACTGTAGGTCAACTTGCCTGTTTGCTTTTTAATTTCCTGTTAGAAGGCAGTGAAGCAGTCTGCTATGGAGATGAATCCTTGCAATCTCTTAGATCTGTTTTGAGTCCTGTGATTCTGAATGGCAAGGCTGTAAATGACTGCAAGTGTTTCACAGTAATAGAGATTTTTAAAGGGGACTCTGTCCTCAGGTGACCAAATGAAGCCACTGGTCAGGGAAGCTCAGATACTTGCTCCCCCTCACTGTTTGCTCCCTTGCAAGCTGTTCTTCTAGCACAAGCCAAACCTTCCTTGAGGCATAAAACAAACACACTGCTTATGGGGGGAAAAAAAAAAGCAATTGGCTGAGAGGAAAAGCAGGTGTTTCTGTACTAAATGGTGATCTCCCTCCCACATTAAAGAACACAGCATGAAAAATGGTAGAAGCTGCTGTATCAAGCTGCAAACGCTGAAAATTGGTCCGTTTTAGTTAATTTAATATAATTGTCTTTTTTTGGCCCTTGTCTTTAACCATGCAATAGTGGGATCCAGTCTAAAGAAAAGCTAAAGTGTAGTTGTGGTTTTCTGTGTATGGAGGACGTGGTTAGAGTTGTTTAAGTGCGAGTCCCATTCCTGGCAGAGTGCAGCACTTGGCCATCAGCAGGGCTGAGTGTTTATGTGTCAGAAGCAGAAAGAGCTCTTACCTGCTCCCGCTGGAAAGGAGAATTGGCTACAAGATTTCTCTAGCACCTGGACTGCATTAAGGTTTATACATTCTGTTTGTAGCACGAGAAGCCCACAACTGATGCTTGCGTAGCACTAAGAGCCACTTGTACAGACCTGTTTGGCTTTGCCTTTCCATAGGGAAGTAAGGCAGTAATTGCAGCAGTGCTGCTGCAGCGGGTGAGCAGGACTCTAATAAAGGGTAACTTTGATCAGCAGGCTCTGAAGTGGTTGTGGGGGAGCATGAAACAGGTTTTTTTTGGACCCACTCCAGACAGCAGTTGGTCTCTACAGCCTTAGCATTAGCAGGAGAGATTTAAGCCCCGCACAGGAGGTGACTGCTCACATCAGAGACAAATTTGGTCAAACAGCTTCTTGGGAAGGTGGGGGTCCTCCTGTTTAACCAGAAGGGTTTGAAAAATGCTTTGTTCTTCCTTTAGAAACAGAACGTGCCCTCGTTTTTCAGCAAAGCAGGGACTGGGTATGAAATGGTTTGCAGATACTTGGATTAAATGTGCAGAGTATTGTCATAGCAACACACAGGAAACCCCCGCAAGGTAGGAAATATCAATGTGAACAGGTGAAGGGAAGCAGGAAACCGTAGCTCAGAAGGGATAAAGCTGCTGCCAGAAATCCAGGTTCTAGGAGCAAAGCAATAAGTATAATTGAGTCTAGTGAGGAGAGTGTGTTTTAAGCAGCTTCCAGAACTGTCTGTGCCAGCAGAGTAGCACAGCTAATAGAAACTTTTTACCTATAATACTGGCCCTCTCCAAAAATGTTACATCACCTCTTCAATTTATATTTTTTTCCAGGACTCCTCCACAGATGTTGATCTATATTAAACTTTGCTGCTAAGACTGAGGGAAGCTTTTAGTACAAACTTCAGTTCGGTTTTAAGCAAGTTGGAGAGGGGCTTTAAAGTCCTGCAACGCATTGTACCTGGTACAGAATAGTAGATGGTAGCACGGAGCCAGCGTTTCAAAGGAAATGCCTGTGGGGCTTTTGAGGTGATATGGTAGACTAATGCTTGCTGGGTTTTGAAAGGGCTGTGTATAGCCCAGAGCATGTGGATGGAGGGAGTATTCTGTAACTAGCTTCTGCTTCTTGCAGCTCTGAGACAGCAGAGGTTGCAAGAGAGAACTGGAGCAGCAGTAAGTCCTTCTCCGTTCAGTGTCACTCTCATATCTTTTTGGGGACTTAAAAGTGAAAAAGAAGTGATAGCGAGGTTAGGGAGCAGACTGATGTCTTTCATCCAATAATGGATTTTCAGAGATGCACTGAAAAATTCATGTTAATATTTCACACAACCAAAGACATTGGTGACAATGGGAGCAACTGGTGGTACTCGATGTAACTGCCTCTTCCCTCTAATGCACGAGTCACAGTGTGACCTGCAGTGGCAAGAATTTGCATTTCCACTCTGAGCCTAGCAAGTAACTCCACACTGGCCAAGGACACAGTACCATGATAACCAAGAACCAGAGTAAGGAACTTGGTCTGTGGGGAAACATGCATGGACCAGTTAGAACAAGTCCAGAGAAGGGCCACCAGGATGATGCGAGGGCTGGAGCACCTCTCCTATGAAGACAGGCTGAGAGAGTTGGGGCTGTTCAGCCTGGAGAAGAGAAGGCTCCGGGGAGATCTTATAGCGGCCTCCCAGTACCTGAAGGGGCTACAAGAAAGCTGGGGAAGGACTTTTCATAAGGGCAGTTAATGACAGAACTAGGGGAAATGGGTTTAAGCTGAAAGAGGGGAGGTTTAGATTAGATATTAGGAAGAAGTTCTTCACTGTGAGGGTGGTCAGACACTGGAACAGGTTGCCCAAGGAAGTTGTGGATGCTCCTCCCTGGAAGTGTTGAAGGCCAGGCTGGATGAGGCTTTGAGCAACCTGGTCTAGTGGAAGGTGTCCCTGCTGCTGGCAGGGGGTTTGGAACTGGATGATCTTTAAGGTCCCTTCCAATCCAAACCAGTCTATGATTCTATGATTCTCCAGTTATGAAGGAACCACCTTACATCATTGAAAAGGCTGCTGAGCCTTTTGAGGAAGATGGTTGATAACTACATGGAAGGAGCAGGTTAATGTCCCAAGACAGTACACTGTAAAATGGGTAATTCTGTGCACTGTGCATTTTGGATGGGAGTAGGCCTGCCTCAAGGAAATTTTATGCAAACCTCCTTTCAGCTGTGAATGCGCCATTAGGCTCCAGGATAGATGGTTAAATTGCACTATTGATTTAATGTGCAAGAATATTTGTTAGTGCAGTGAAGAGATGCAGCTAATGACTTCTCTTGGCTTCTTCAGATTTTAGTCTGGCATACGAGGACAGAAAAGCCTGTGCTGGTGAATGAGGGGAAGAAAGGATTCACAGATCCCAATGTGGAAATCTGACTGTGCATGGCTGAACAGAGACCAACACCAGGTAAGAACTCACACAGTAATGAGAAGCAACAGTAAAGAAGGAAAATACTAGACAATGACAAGGAAAAGGCAAGAGCTCTTTTAAATCTTTTTAATTTCAATTTTTCACATCTCTGACCTTCCTTTACTGCAAAACTTCTGGAGACCATTAGTTAGTCTCTCTTTTTTATCTATAAGACAAGCTGTCAAAGGGGAAATACCTGGTGAGAGGTTGGGGGGAAGAAGAGAAATCCAGAGAGTGAGAGTTTAGGCAGAAGTTACATTGTTAAAAAAACCAAACCCTTGTCTAAACAAGAATGCTGCCTTATTAACTGTTTTAATATAGCTAAAGCACAAGGATGTGGCTTCATCCACCTCCAGACACCTGAGGAAAGCTAAGGTAATATCAATTAAAGCTTTTTTATGCTGACAGAAGATTTCAGTGAGGGAAGGGTTTTATTTATATCCACATCAAAGCCCCACAAAGTCAGTGACAGGTAAGGGAGGGTGTAGATTAAACCCCACATGAGGTATTTGTTTACCTAAGGTGAGCATATAGTGTCTTCTTCTGTGGAAAGGAGGAAAGAACCCACTGAATTCCTGCTCACCCTGGCTTCTCACCTTCCATTACCTGAGCATCCTGGTACATTTAGTGTTCTGTATCTCCAGAGTGCACTCTGCATGGGCTATTTGCTTGTATCTGCATCCAGACCATGCTGCTGCTCTTTGGCATTATGAGGAAAAAAAAATAAATGCACAACTCCCTTTAACTGGAGTGCAGAACCAGGCCTGGAGGAGAGGGAAGGCTGCTGCTTGTTCTCCTTTCCTCTCAAATACAGAGAAGGAAGGGCAGCAAAGGAGAGGGGTAGAATTGCTCAGCAGCAGTGTATTTTTAAAGCAATGAGCTCTCTGATAGCAGATTCCTTTGGGCTAACTGGATGGAGCCCTGCTTGCTGCAGTGGCCTGCCTTTGCCACCCGTTGGCAGGACAGCAGAGGAAAGCCTGCACAGCACATTATCTGCACTATATATAGCAGCTTTGCAGAGAGACCGTAGCTCCTCAGTGCTGTCACAACTGCTTTTCACCAACACCCAGTTGCCTAGCAGCAGTACTCACAGATCTGCAATCTGAGATGGGGTTTGGGATACTTCCAAGGGGTGGCAGCTAACTGCAGTGAGGCAGAAGGGTAACGTACATGCTGGTTGTGTTTCTGTTGCAGAAGATTTCTTCATGCACAGCCTGCAAGGTTCCTCTCCACAGCGTACAACCAGCCAGACATGCAGTAGCCAGGACCTCTGCTGACTTCCAAGAGTTTTAAGCGTACTGAAAACAAGCAACACTGCATACATAAACTACCCGGATTCCCCTGCCCTTCCTCCTGGACTTTGAGCAGAACCAGACACTCTGGAGGTAGAGAAAAAGCACAGAAAATAAAAGGACTGACATCAACTTCAGTACAAGACCAGCTGCCTCATGAGATGCTCGGTTTGGGAGAAGTGCATGCAGGGCACGAGGCACGGAAGACACGGCTCAGCTGCAATGGGAGTCTAGACTGAGGGGGCTGTTTTACGGGACCTGAGAGCAAGGGTGAGAATGCCCACAGGAGTGGGTTGGCCCCTGAGGACTTGTTTTTCCTGAGACACACGTACCTTGTGGCTATGTGTGCAACAGCCTAAGCAGCTCTCTGTTCGTGGAGGGGACAGCTGCCTTCTGAGATGGCACCTTAGCCCTTAATTTTAAACCTACTTTAATCAGTGTTTATTACGCTGCACAAGACAGGAAGGTTTTGAGGGAGGGTGAAAAGCAAGGCAGGTTAGAACAAACCCATTGTCTCTGTTCTCT